AGTTCAAAGGAAATGTATATCTGTGGTGGGGGTTAAATTATTGAATAATGCAGTGTAAATGTAAGAACTTGTGGTGCATTTTTTTTGTTTAAAAGGATGGTTTTGAAGATAACTTGACGGTTACAAAAGTTTATAAGTTGTGTTGATGAATGAAGGGGTATTGTGAACTTATTTGACTAAATGGTGTATATTTCTCCTTCTCTTCTATTTTGCTTAAATTGTACATATTTGTGTTAAAGGGGTAGATTACTTTGTTTAATTTGTTCTAAAGGTCAGGCATAAATATAAGCATGTTGCTTCGGCCTGAGCCTTTTCAGTAACTTTAAATGTAATGTAATATGTTATGTGTTATTGCTTATATTATTATGTTTTGACTGAATAAATTCAATTCAATTTAATAAAATGAATGTTCCCTTACAACAAGCATACACCCAACACCCGGTTTCTCTGTGATTTATTTATATTTCCCCTGAATAGAATTGCATCAAAATATAATTATGTCTGCATGGGTTGTATTAGAAAAGTAAAAATATAAAGGATTTAAGGATAAATGAGTCATGCAAATTAGAGTTGTTTGGTATTTTTGCTGCAAGCTATAAATACGTAACCTCTGTAATGTCCAGTTTAGGTCATTTTTCACCTACATCTACATCTGTAGAGATAATTCCATCCTCTAAAGTGGATTTCAATTCCATCTCCCAACAAGCCAGAAGACTGCAGCTCTGAACACATGATAACATATTGCCAACAAACTGTTCCCATCTCAAGGCCTTAAGCGTCCCCTTATCGCTTCTACAGGATTCCTCCTGCCTCTGAATGAAAGTGAACATTTTCAGCTCATATGAGTTAATTAATCATGAAATGAAATGAACAATATGGTTAAATGAAATGTTTTGAATAACCTGTGCCTAATTCAATGAAGTTGAAATGAATTTTAATATTACAATGAAACATTTTGATGTTATGATCAGTAATGTTTGGTTTAACAAGTGAATCATTATCTACACTCATACACAATGTTCATAAGATATAAATTGTGGTTAACGTCACTGCACATAAAGATTCTTTATCCACAGAACTAGAACATCTTTTGTGTCTGGAAAAGACGTGTGTTCTGAGGTTTGTTTGTTAAACACCTCTTAACCTCTTTTGTCCTGATTGGCCATGTAATCATAACATGGGAATATTAAAACAGAATCACTTGCGGAGTGATCCAGTTAGTTTTTGAGCAGAACTCCGGACTGGCCACCAGGGGAAAACTCTCTAACCACAGCATCTCTTGACAAGCTGTCAAAATTTGCTACACGCTGAAGCTGACACGACAAACGGTTACTGCAGAACAAAGTTGATACAGTTCCAACTCCTTAAGAGTCCTTCTAGACGCAACTAGTTCCAACCCGTTGTGCCTGGTGACATCTCTGGACTGAAGAAGTCGGAGCTGCGGTTAATCTACTGAACCTCGGTGCTCAGAGGTCATCCGAACTGTCTGACCTCCGGATCCGCGAAGAGGGTCTCCAAAAGGGTGAGGTACACACAGCATGATTGTGTCTGATGTGGTTTTATTAACCATCAACTTATAGTTATAGCAGACCAAATTCACTCCCACTCAGAACTTAGTTTCTTCAGATACGAGGGTTCTGATAACGTCACATTCACACATCATCACACCTCACATTCCAGCCACTTAAATTCATTCATCACACAGTGTACTAGCTGCCATGTTTTTAATTGTTTAGAAAATAAATGTCTTACTTTTTATAAACTCGACTCTCTTCTTGAGTTAATACAAAGTGTCTGACAATCCCTGAAGAATTCTAATTCTTCTGGTTCAAAGATCAATCAGACTGGATTTCCATATTTATATGGACATTCACATCTTATTGGTCAAAGTGTAGTGTAGTATATCAAGCTTTAAGAGCACCCAAATACATACGTATGCTACTCCTACACATCACAGTGTAGAGATAAGCACAATAGTTATTAATCACAGTTAGACTAAATTAGTGAAATGATCCTTATTTGTAGAAGTCAACTTAAACTTGATTCCACCCAAAATAAAATCCCAAAGTAAAGACGAATCAGATATTGGATCACATTGCTGAAGACAAAGCTTGATTGTTATTTGCCAAAGAGAAAGAAACTGTCATAGCAGATAAAACATTTGAAGTCTTTACATAACTTGCTTTAATGTTTCGCCAAGGTCTTGCATTGGTGATGGTAGAGTCTGACCGCTGCACAAAGCCTTCTCTAGCACATCCCAAAGATTCTCAATGGGGTTAAGGTCTGGACTCTGTGGTGGCCAATCCATGTGTGAAAATAATGCCTCATGCTCCCTGAACCACTCTTTTACTATTTGAGCCCGATGAATCCTGACATTGTCATCTTGGAATACTGTATGTGTGAGGATATTTCCAGAAACTACATTATGACTGACAACCAAACACAGGCTCCGTTTTTCTAATGGAGGTTTAAAACTAGCACCTGATGAGCAGTAAATAAGCAGAGAGATAGACTTTCCTGTGTTAAACATAATAATCTCATCCCAATTAAGTAATCACTAACCCCTTCAGCATTCCGAACAGATTGATTAGTGTTTAATGAAAGGTGCCATGACACTGCTGGTTAGGGATGCTTCTGACAACATGCAGAAGCGATTTTCTCTTTGAAGCTTTTCGATTAGTTTCAAAATGTTGTCAAAATTAGGGGGGGGGGGGGGGAGGGGGCAAAATGGAAACCCATCTGCTTGGTTAGGTGCTCGTCCATCGGGTATATCCAGCGAGTTAATAAAAGCATTTCATTACAATAAGAGCAGAAATATGCTAATAAACTCTCCTGTGTGTAAAATGTTCTGAACACACGGTGTATTCAGGAAACACAGCGTGATGGTGACATGGCGAAGGATGATTGTCAGGTTTGTTTAGGCGTGAAAACAAAAATTTTCTAAATCACAAATTACACAAACTCATTTATAGACTTAAACAGCAAACCAGATGATGCAGCACAAGCAACGCACTTGTTATCATTGATATGTACCCACTGTTGTATGTTAGCATAAAAATACCAGCAGCCAATCAGATGGAAGCAGCTTAAAGCGTGCAGGCTTCTTGATGACTTGCTTAAGTTCTAACTGAGCATCAGAGTGGAGAAGAAAGAAGATTAAAGGGACTTTGAATGTAGCATGGTTGTTGGTTGCAGGCGAGATGTAACTGGCCAGCAGCAGCTTGGTCAACTTTACTCATATTTTAATACACTTGCAGTGGTTGATTGATTGCCTTGTAAGTTGTATGGTGTAAAACAGCTCTGGTGTGCCTGTTTCAGGAATTTGAAAAGAGCCAGATCAGAGCTGAGCTTCAGACGACAGGATTTGGAGTTTTATTTGCTGATGTTTGGACAGCTCGTGAGACAACATGGGGACTCCATGAATGTTAAGTGAACGTGTGACGTAGATCTGTCAGGCTTTTCTAATCCTAGAGTTTCACCTTCTATTTTCTATCAGAGGATAATGCAGGAGAGCCTGGATGAAAAACTCAGAGTAAAAAATTATAATAAGAAATAATAATAAAAAAATGTTTTTTACTGTGAAGTTGACCTTTAAAATGACAGAGGCCAAAACGGCTCATTCTGGAAGGTACTGAAAATGCCCAGAATAAAACTGCAGACATCATTTCATGTGAGAGGAATTTTATGCGCAAAACTCTATGAACCTCTTTTGTATCAACCATAGAACATTTACTTGTTATAACTTGTTTAAACATGTTGTCCTTTTTCAGATTAACAGAAGACATTCAACATCCACGGATTACTGAGAGCCAAACTTTGGAGTCATTTACAAAGTTGCTAACAACAATGTTTTATTTGATGTCCCAGAACTGAAAGTATCTTCACGGATTATTTTTAAAAGCTGCTGGCTGTAAGTCATGAAGTTAACAAAGAGCCAACCTGTCAGCATTTTGTCTGATGCACAGTCAGCACCATCACCTGCAGAGGTCTGAACACTCGGACTGCATTCTAAAGCGGCACAAAACCAACACACTTCTACCATTTCTCTTATTTCTTGGAAAATACAGCTGCTTTTTTAAGACAAACCAAGCAACTTTTTCATATTTTTAAATCATTTTCTTGAGCCAGTATGTGCTAAAATGACCTTTCATAAGGTCATCGAAACATCACTCAACCCCCTACCGCTCTCTGTGGCCAGAATACCGCACTTGCAACTTCAGTGTGGACTTAGTAAAAATGTAGCTGACATGCCTGGCACTGAAGTCTGCTTCCAGCCCGTTTCCTGCATGTTTTAGATCATTGACACAGCTGACTGTTTAATTCAGTGAAGAATCACTCCTGTAGATACTAATGAAGGCTGAGGAGACATTTTAGCAGTTAGATTAAAAAGAGAAACTCACAGTGAGGAGATAAGTTTCACTTTTGGTCTAAGGACAGAGAATGAGTAATGCACACTAGGGGGTGCTAAAAGCAAGAAAAACTAGTGTTGTTCTTTTGTATAATAATTCTGTGTGTTTCTTCTGAATGCATTTTTAAGTAATTTTTTTAAACAGAGGAAAGTTTTTTTTACCTTGCTGACTGTTTTGATCACTCCTGCAATCTTCATCAGAGCTAGCCGCTAATGGCGGCATCACTTCCTTCTCTGTTTATTCGCGGGCGACACCGTCCTCTGCTGCCCGCGAATAAATGGAGAAGGAAATGATGTCGTCATTAGCAGCTAGCTCTGATGAAGACCGCAGGAGTGATCGAAACTGTCAGCAAAGTAAAAAAAATACTTTCCTGTGTTTAAAAATATTACTTAAAAATGCCAAGAGTGTGTGTGTGTGTGTTTAACTTTCTCATCTTTAACATGTATCTTCTATAAAATAAACAGGCAACACAGAGGGAAAAGAGTTACATTTCTAGTTGCAGCTATTTCTGAGGAGTTTTTGTGTTTATTTTTCTTTACATAACTGACAGGAGCCCTTATTGACTCCTGTTCAGAAGAAAACGCCGCTCACCTGTGAGTTGAACCTGAGCCGGCAGACGCTGCAGGACACATGCTTCCTCTTGGCTGTGGGAGGGAGGCCGAGGGTGTGATGGAGGATAGCTTTCTGCACCGGGTCCATCTGGAGGACACACACACACACATAGAGAGGCTAATTAAAATGGTGCTAAAGCTGACCTGTAAATTCCCTGTCACTCACTGGGCTGTGAAGAGAAAACAGGCTGCCTGGAGCTTCTGAAAAACTAGCCGTCAATCTGCCAACCCCAGGGAGTGAATTCCACCTTTTCTCAGCATTATTTCTCCCATTTGCTCCTATTAGACACATGCCAAGTGTTTTTACTGACCTTTCCATAGGCATTTAAATGATTTTTGTTATGCATGTTCTGCACTGCAGTGGTTCATCTCAAAGAGAAAGAGCAGGAGTTTTGGCATGAAGAGCGTCAGCCTACAGCCAGAGATGGAGGGCTTTTAAATACAGAACAGAAGTTCTGCACCGAAAACTCGACAGGAAGATGAAGAAAACATGAGTCATGGCTGAAGACTGGAAGGTAGAGAAGCTTAATGATGCCTAAGAGATTATAAAGGAAAGGCTGTAGGACTGTAGCAACTAAACGAGGCACCACAGTTTTCATAGACTACCGTAGGAAAAAAGGAAGGGAATTGTCAGATTTTTCTCAATGCTTTGGTTTATGAGCAGGTTTTGAAATAATTAAATGTTTCTTAATTGAGATTTCTTAAACTGTTGGCACAATATTTCATGAACCACTACACAAATCAGGATGGTTGATCCAGATAAAACAAAAGAAAAGAGAAGCAAACACTCAAAATGCCGTACTTCCATTAATTTAAAGTAGCGGAGAGCAATTCCCTTAGTTGCCTTCACTGGGATCTCTGGGACAGTTTAGGACAGGTCCAGATTCCACCTTTTATCTGAAACGTGGTGAACCCCAAGGTTCTGTGTTTGGTCCAGTTTTATTATCAACACATTTGGACAGAGCATTAATGAATGGATGACATTTGCCACTTTAATAATGATTCAGCAGTTTTCAGTCTCAACTAATCGAGTACCGATCAGAAGTTAAGAACTCCTGTCAAAACTCTGAAAGGACTGACGGTTGCTTCAGAAAGCCCGGTTCCTCCGATCAGGCTAAAAAAAATAAAAATTAAAAAAAAAACGTAGTCAAACTTGAAGAAATAGGTTGTTCACACAAATCAATGTTTCTTCAACTTTTAGCATCTGAAATATCTCTAAACCGAGTTTGTTGTCTCATTTAACATGAAGATGTGGAAAGATGAGGAAACACTTTTTTAGAGAGCATCTCTCAAGATAAAAACCACAAGGTTCACATGAACATTAAAAATATTTAAATAAAAACATTGATTTCAAACGATTATAAAAAGAAATGCAAGTATAAATTCTGAGTAAAAATGGAAAAGAAAAAGTAAACACTGACACATTATCGAGATGGTTTGGACCCAAAATGCAGATTACCCAGGATGACATGAGGCAGGAGTTGATATGTAAAGTAAAAATCCTTTATTTGGAGGAAGAACAAAAATAAATCCAAACGGCAGCGAGCCAAAAATCCAAAGTCCAGAAGAACCAAAGCTCACTTAGAGCACAGAACTGGGACGAGTGAACAAAGGTCAAACAGAGCATCAGAAAACGCTGACATAAAAACAACAAACACACTGACAGCAACAATGGACCAACAACCACAGAGTGACAAGACAAGGCTTATAAACAGGAGGGAGGTAATCAGGGAAACAGGTGACAGGTGTGAGGAGTGTGAGCTGAGGAGAAACTGGTGGAATCAATTAACAAAATGGGAAGGGAAGGAGCTTGACCAGAGGGCAGATAAACATCAACACAAAACTAAACCTAAAGCCTGAGGGCCAAAAACAAACAACTAATAACCAGACGGATGAGGAGGACTAAATAAAGATTGATTAGGAATGGGGAATGATTAGAAGGATACCTGGGGAAGTCTACAGAGGGCTGGAGATACAACTTAAGACACACAACAGAGATGCAGACAAAGGACACATGAGGGCGCTAAGAGAACACAAAAGGAGAACCTGGAGTGGGAACTGGAGGAGCTGGGGAACAAAGGGACACAGAACATGACAAACACAGGATTTCGAAAGAAAAATAAAGGACTGAAACACAAATCTGAGAAGATTCTTCATGCTTTTATTTTCTATGATGTAAAATACTGTAACTCACTTTTCACTCGTTTAAAAAATGTCCTTGATGGTCCAGGACACTGCGAAGCTCCTAACAGAAGATCACTTTAGTTTTAATATCTCTGTTAACTTTAGTTCAAACTCCTCTTTAAAAAACCAAAATGTAAATGGAGTCCTTGGGTCTTCAAACCATTGATGATCGATAAAGGGAGCTATAGAAAAGAATTTTACTTTTAGCAAATATTCAAACTTGTTCATAACTCTGAACACGCACTCTGACTGAACTACAGTTTTCAATTTCAAGATCTTCAACCTGCAGCAGTTCAAATTTCTACTAAGAATAAGCACTAATGTCACGTCCACCTGCATTTGCCCGACTCACATTCTGAATCACCTCATGATAGATCCATTTGGTTTTACTGCGATCTGGATTTCTTCCATTAAAACTGTAAAATTGGTCAATAACCCACATGGAAGACTGTTGACTCTGTTGTCATTAAACTGATGCAAGACAGTTTTTCCTGGTCGGACAGTTTTTGTGTGATTATTTGGGTTAAAACAGAATATTTCTACAGCTAAAACTAATTCATGCTGAATGTCTGTTGTGAGTTTTGGACTTCCGTCTTTTGCTTGTGGAGAACTTTCTGCACAACAATAACAAGTTTAGTTCATATTTCTTGGAGGCGCTGCTGGCTGACAGCATGCAGGACCTCAGGTCTGTCTCTCTTATTATCTCACTCTTTCACAGCTTCACTCATTACTCTAACAGAGTGTTTTATTGGGAATTTCCCCTGATCTGTCGGCATAAGTGAAACCAAGCTGTTCCCACACAGATAATGAGTGTTAGTAGGATTGTTCATTTGACAAAAAGAAAGAGAAATTACCAGAATGCAAACAAACACAAAAGACCTTCTGCTGAGCAGGAGCTGCACACATTTAGCCTGTGAAACTACATTGTACATGTTTCCTGTTTGCCTCTTGCCGTGAGGCTGCAGAGCTTCGGGGAATGAACAAACACATCTGCTTGTCTCTGGAAAAGTCTGCGGGGAACACTTGGCTGGAGAAAGTGGAAAGGTGATGGCGAGACGTGGGAGGATGAATCCATCTCCACAATTGTTCTAGAGAGGGCAGTGGCGATGATGTTTCAGCGTTGGGCTGTAGAGAGACGTCTCCTAAAGGACGCAAACGCATGAAGAACAGTTCTATTTAGATATTTATAATTGGAGTAAACCAGAAGCTGGCGTCAGGTTGCATCTCTGAAATCACAACAGAAAAGCTTGCTGGGAGAAAATGAGCTATACAAATACGATTTTTTTTTTATAAGGACTTCCCAGGGAGAAAATAATCAAGTGCAGCTGATAAAAGCAACACCGGCTGTTTAAAAAGTGACGTCTGTGTGAGAGGATGACGAGCAGCTGGGTGGTTATAGAGTCAGCTGAACTTTGAGTTTATCTCACCGAGGGCAGACAGAGGTCAGGTGAGGCTGAACAGGAGTGGAAAATTCCAGAAAAGACCCCGGTCTGGTCAAAAAGTCATACAAATATTCAGCTAGTTTCTATTGTCCTGTGCAATTATCATAGACTTTGTCAAAAAATTTTATAGGGATTAAAAAAAATGGAGAAACTGATGAGAGACTTGGGATCAACCCGAATCCAACAGCATTTACACACATCTGAAACTGTAAAATGTTATTTGTGTCCATTACTTCTATAAAAAGTAAATTACTCACTTTATCTTATCTCCTTGCATCATACTACATAAACTGTTTTAATAACCACTGTCACGGTTAAAGATGGTCAGAACCATGGACTATATAGACTATGTGAGTGGACTCTGTGACATCACCTGTACGTTTCTGAAGAGCTGACCTGAAGCACAGTGGGCGGTTCCTATCACTCCCATCTTGGCCGTGTCACGTGTTTCCTCACTCGCCAAATAAAAAAATGGAGTTGAGAGGGTGGGGGCAGAAGATTGACACCCATCGAACTCTGACCTGATGTTGCAACAAGCAAACTGAGCCATCAAAGCTAATGGAGGATGGTGGGTGCTTTCAGCCAGAAAACCGCGGTTGAGCGCCTCTGGTACCCTCTGCCGTGAGGTTGTAATACTTTTAACGTGAGGCTGAGGCTCAGGCCTCCTTGTAGCAAGCAGGAGGACAAGCCATGAATGCTGAGGGCTGATCTGACACCTGTCTATCAAAAGAACATACCCCTAATTATTCATAGTTTCAACTCATCTAAACAGATTAAAAATAAAATCCACCCTCCCCAGAGTTGTCATGAGGTCAAACTACATATAATAAACCTAAAATGTATTTTTGAACCAGGCTGTAAACATGTTTATTTCTGCTGTGAATTTAGCCATTTTTTTACTCAGGAGTCAATAGGAACTTTCTCCTTTCTGGATCCAGCTCCTAGTGGAGGAGGAGGGAACTGCAATTTTTTGTAACTTCCACATTGGCTTCACTTTTGGCAGGTGAAGTTTGCCTCTTGGTCAAAACCCATAAAAAGGCCTTCAAACACACTGTTTATGAACTGTTGTTAATCAACACCAGTGGCAGACCAGAACATTTCCCAGTGCTCCTGATGGTGAGTGCGTGATGTTCACAGAGATGTTTAACAAACACAGATTGAAGATCAAGAAAGAGCGTCCCCATGCAACGACTGTTGTTTAAAACAGACTGGAACTACACATTGAAGGTGTGGTTGACTGAAAAAAACTTTGTTATTATTATCGCCGATCATAATTTGTCACTCTGAGTTTTTTTATGCAGGCTGAACATTAAAACAGTCTCCTACGCCTATCTCCTCTTAGCTTCTTACAGAAAGTAGATGGTGAAACTCTAGGATTTGATAATCCTCACATGTCTATGTCACACTGTGAATTTGCATTCATGTCCTCGCCCATCTTGGCTCGTGCCTGCCCACAGGAATG